ATTAAATCAAAAAACGAATGATCGAATGATACACGGATTCATCTGATTGTACCAGCTTTTTTGCGTTTTTCTTAAAGGGATAGTTCACCCAAAAATGAAAATTTGATGTTTATCTGCTTACCCCCAGGGCATCCCAGATGTAGGTGACATTGTTTCTTCAGTAGAACACAAACGAAGATTTTTAACACAAACCGTTGCAGTCTTTCAGTCATATCATGTAAGTGGATGGAATCATGGCTTTGAGAGTCAAAAAAACATACACAAACAAAACCAAATTAAACCCTTATTAGTGCATTACCGCCACCTATCTGTCAAGTGAACCATTGACTCTCCTAATTGAGATTGTAGATAGAGTGTCAATGGTCCATTTGGTGGCGCTAATGCACTTAAGTCTGCGATCCGCCATAAAGCAAGAAGAAGACGACGCGTCACGCGCCGGCTGTCGAGGATGCGCTCAGGACCAGGGTGTCCGCGGGGTCTTAAAAAGTATTAAAAGTTGATAAATCAATTTAGATAAAATTAAGGCCCTTAATAAGTATTAAAAATTCTTAAATGCCATTTTCCAAGGTATTACATTTTGTATCATGTTTTCATTATGTATATTTGTCCGAATAGTGGGGTTCTGTGTAGCTGCGTGATAGCAGCTACTTGCTGAACTTCTTACTATTACCGCATGCTCCCATCCGCTCCCGCGATTTTTGTGTCCGCTCCCACAAACATTCTAATATTGTATATTATTTTCGCGCATCAGGGCGCCGCTATCAATATGTGAATGAGCGCTCGCAGTTTCACTTTCGATTTCGCGATCGCGCGCACACTGTGTAAAGGGAGCGCATATTACGATAAAAGATATTTGTCAGTGAGCTAGGGATCTGTTGAGGAGCAAATACTCCAAAATCTTTGTCAGTTATCTCTCCTTACTTTTAACCCGTGATTAGTCCAATCTGACTTCTGCAGCTCATGTTGGATGCAGGGTTGTTGTTGTTTTTTTCCACGAAATTGGGCTTGATTTTCCCCAGTGGGTTAAAGGTTTGAAATATTGCATAAATTACGTTTGGTTGAAATGCTTGTACTGAAACATTTTGCATTCTACCTGTAATAAAACTGTGCCATTTTGAGCCACACTAGTAGGAAGCATTTGAGCTGTGTTTATGGTAAATGTGCATAACAGTGACTGTAAAAATATGTTTTTTAGGGATGGAAATGACATTTTTATATTTGGGACATAATTGCGCTACTTTGGGCTGTTTTTTTACTGGCATGGGCTTGGGATTCACAATTAAAATGATGTAGTTGTGATCATTATTTTACCTTCCATGATCATTCAGACACGATCGGGTGCAGTACTGACACACTGTCAAGTCTGCATCAAATCAGGCACTCCGTAATCACTGGTAAACTGTTTGATCAGTCAGATGTTTGTCATCACAAAAGAGCTATGTTTTGCAGACCGTTATAAGAGTTGATATGACCTGCATCTTTTGAATATACTGCGTGAACTCATTGCCCAGTTAGCTCGGAGAGCTTTATTTTCCTGCCTCAATAAGTTTTGTCAGTTGTTTTGTTTATTGTTCTAATTCTTGTTTCTTGGGTTGCATTGATTAGTCACTCAATTAATTCTCTTGTGCTTCGTTCCCCCCTTCTGAATTATGTTGCATTGATAAGGAGTTATCACAAAGTAAGTCTAGTTGTGCTATCTTACAATCAATATATAGTACATGTAAGTTAAAGTGTCGCCGATGTAACCGGTTAAAACTTGGAGTGGCGATGAGGTCTTAAAATGTATGGAAAGAGTCTTAAAAAAAGGTCTTAAAAGGTTTTAAATTTAACTCCATGATTCCTGTATATACCCTGAGGTCATGCTCAGGGCAGTTCGAACAGTTCTGACATTGCGTGAATCCGAGGTAAAAAACAATATAAATACTAGGGATGCACCGAAATGAAAATTCTTGGCCGAAACCGAAAACCGAAAAAGAGGAAACCAAGGCCGAAAAACGAAAACCGAAACACCGAAAGAAATTATGCCAATTATTAGTACCATTGCATTTATGGCTATGACTGTGTACTAACTTTACTAAAATCAAGGCATTGCAATTGCATAAATTAATATTAAAGTTTCAAAGAATAAATCAATTACAAATTATGGAAATATTTAGTTGTGCTATCTTACAATCAATATATAGTACATGTAAGTTAAAGTGTCGCCGATGTAACCGGTTAAAACTTGGAGTGGCGATGAGGTCTTAAAATGTATGGAAAGAGTCTTAAAAAAAGGTCTTAAAAGGTTTTAAATTTAACTCCATGATTCCTGTATATACCCTGAGGACATGCTCAGGGCAGTTCGAACAGTTCTGACATTGCGTGAATCCGAGGTAAAAAACAATATAAATACTGTTCAGTTTCTTGCACAGACCGATAGTTTTGTGTCTTTACACATCAATGTATCGCCACGAGCCGCAGGGTTTAATTTAGTTTTGTTTGTGTATGTTTTTTTGACTCTCAAAGCTGTGATTCCCATCCACTTACATGATATGACTGAAAGACTGCAGCGGTTTGTGTTAAAAATCTTCGTTTGTGTTCTACTGAAGAAACAAAGTCACCTACTTCTTGGATGCCCTGGGAGTAATGAATGAATGAATGAGCCCTTTATTGTCACTGATCACAGGTACCAGCGAAATTAGCCATCCACCTGTCCATACATACAATATGACAAGGGGGGTAGACAGGACAGGAGGACAGGGAATTTTAGAAGATACAGCATAACATGAGGGAAAGCAGATAAACATAAAATTTTCATTTTTGGGTGAACTATCCCTTTAAGAGTGATTACCCAACTAGTCATTCAGGCAACTGACTTGTTTGCACAGCTATAATTTTGTGTATGTTTATGTGATATGTGCTATGTCATTGGTCAATCCAGTGTTAACATTCTTGCGTGATAAGAATTTCTCTTGCTCTGTGTAGCTTGTGCCATCCTGGGCCCTGCCCACAGTGTCCAGCTTTTATCACAAAGTCCTGCATTTGCGGGAGAATGAGGTACAATTACCTTTTTGTAATTAACTGTATATGTAATCATTTACCCAGATATATGCAGGCCAAACAACACCGGTTTCTTGTGTGTGCAGAAAGCAGGTTCGTTGCAGTCAGACAGGACCTCTGCTTTGTGAGGACGTCTGTGGAGCTCTTCTGAACTGCTCGGAGCACTTCTGTGCCCAGGTGTGCCACTCAGGGCCATGCCAACCCTGCCGACTTCGTGTTCAGCAAGGTAAGTAGTCCTTGTGTCATTTAATTGGTTCAACACTAAAGCCAGACCATATTGTTGCTTCAAATTTCGTAATTTTACAATCTAATTTGGATTAAAAACTGCTCATGTTGCATGTATGCAGCATCTTTGTTTGGATCGTGATTAAAATGTAGTGGTTGCCTCTAATTTTAAATGGAAAGAGCACAGACAAAGCCTTAGTTTGTTTATATGAACAGATTTCTTTTATTTATGTTATTTATTTTATTTGGGGTTTGTTTTAAAATTACAGTTTAGTTTTGTTATTTGACGTTTCAGTTACACAAAGAAATGTTCAGCATTTTGTCCAAGCAATAATAAAAGAAGACCTGTTCATTTATAATTTGTCTTCAATCTTATTTTGTTAAAAAAAAAAAACTGTGAGAAGATCATTCCGTGAAATGAGTATCATGAATTGTATCGCATCGTGAATTGAGTGAGTTGTTACATCCCTACAACAATGTTCAAAATTCTTATATTTCTCTTTTACTTGTGTCTGATCTGCTGTAGATTCTGTCCACTTGTGTGAAAAGCTCTGCCATGAGGACAGCTGTGGCCCGTGCTCTTTGACCTCCTCTATTAAGTGCAGATGTGGCAGTAACAGCAAGGTTAGACGGTTATCACACAGCTGCACAAAGGTTAGGAAGTTCTGAAAACTGCAGATGGAATTCATACTCTCTCTTCTGTTTTCATAGGAAGTTCCTTGTGCAGCCATTCAGACTGAACGTAAGGCTTTAGTTAATTGTGTAACAAAGTAATTGTATGTACTATACCAAAGTAGCAGTTGTAATGCTAATGTGTAATCCTTTACAGAAGACATGGTGTTTACCTGTGAGAAACGCTGCAACAAGAAGCGCTCCTGCGGCAGGCACAAGTGTGGGGAGTTGTGTTGTGTGGTGAGTCTTTTAAATTTTCATGAAAGCTTTATCTGGGTGTAATAGCCACAAGAAAGGTGTATGTAAACATTCTCTCTCTTTATCAGGATGTGGAGCATAAGTGCTCAATGATTTGTGGTTACAAACTCAATTGCGGTCTACATCGATGTCAGGACCTTTGTCACCGTGGCAACTGCCAGCCTTGTTGGCAAACTAGTAAGCCTGGCCTTCAAGATCACCTTAATGGATGTTCATCTCTTTTCTTCTTACACAGCACTGTGTGTTTTCTCTAAGGTTTTGATGAGTTGGCGTGCTACTGTGGGGAGACTGTGCTCTTCCCGCCCATCCCTTGTGGAACGAGACCTCCTGAATTTACCTCAGAAGGTAAACATTGTTAGTAATGTGCTTTTGTTGAAGTGGAGTAACCTTTGTATTTGGTTGTTCTCTCACAGGTTGGAGTGTGATCAAGAATGTGCTACACTGGAGAGGAACAGGTGAACGTAAAGATTTTATTCCCTCTATCTGTGCCTGTATATGTTACTAGGTATGTCTGTGTGTGGGTGTGCAGGTTTTGATGTTTTCTGTTTTGCCTCTAGGCGGCTGGCTGAGGCCCTGCAGATTGATCAGTCAGTGGATACTTTCAACAAGTCAGCATCTTCCAAATATAGTGACTCTCTGAAAGAAGATGCAAGGTGGTTCAAATTCTAAAATAGTTCAAGAATGTATCAACAGTACATAAAGCTAGGACATGGTAGTATGAGACATTACCAAGCTCAAATTTTTTGGAAGAGCTCACGATGAAGGCACCAACCATTAAGCAACCTATTAAGGGTTGCCATCATTTCAGAAGTGAAGTGACATGTGGCCAAGTATGGTGACCCATACTTGGAATTAGTGCTCTGCATTTAACCCATCCAAAGTGCACACACACAGCAGCGAACACACACACACCCGGAGCAGTGGGCAGCCATTTATGCTGCGGCGCCCGGGGAGCAGTTGGGGGTTCGGTGCCTTGCTCAAGAACGCTGTACATTCACTCCCCCCACCTACAATCCCTGCCGGTACGAGACTCGAACCCACAACCTTTGGGTTATGAGTCCGACTCTCTAACCATTAAGCCACGACTTAAGAGTAAGAGTAAAAATACTTCTGTTGCATTCTTGAAAACAGTCTTGCAGTTTGATTCACTACGCTTAATAGGTTCAGTTGCTTGCCAACTGTATAAACTGCACAGGACTGTATTTTCAAAAGCATCCAAACTCCAAACACAAAAACGGGGATTGTAGCCTACTTATAAAAGCAACAAATGCTTATCCTTTATTTTGTAGTCTCATGACTGAACATCACTAGTAACTGTGCACTAAAGAATTGCCAGTCGAGTTTGGGTTCTTGCACATTTGCTTCGATAGTTTAAAGAAAAACAGAAGTGTAGAATATACACACGTACGTTAAATGTTTAGTCTACTACAGAGCCAAGTGAAAGCCTGAATGCTCAAACTAATGAAACCTTTTTTGTTTTTTTTTGTTTTCAGGAAAGATTTCAAGTTTGTCAGTGAAATTGAAGAGGAGATTAAGAATTTAGTTGAACTGACTAACAAGGTAAAATGTAGTCCAATGATCACACTATATATAAATAGTTGACAATATTTACTATCCAAGCACTTCTAGCATCATTTTTCAGAGCTCTGTTATCGTGTTATTCCTCAGGGTAAACAGCCTAAGAGGAGTCACTGTTTTCCACCTATGAAGCGTGAACACCGGAGAATTATCCATGAGCTAGCGGAGGCATATGGTGTGGAAAGCGTCAGCTATGATAGCGAACCCAAGCGAAATGCTGTGGTTACTGCCATCAGGTCAGCAGAAACGGTCATTTTAAATTGGGCTTTCAACTGTAATAGTGAATAAGCAAACACAAGTAAACATTAAAGGTGTCTCAGTTAAGAGTGTGTCAGTATAGAGTTAGGTAGTCTTCAACATGATTGTTTTACATGTGTTTTCAGGGGGAAATCGGTGTGTCCTAACTCTAGTCTGGCTGCTTTGATTGAAAGGGAAACTGTTTCCAGAGCACCTCCTCCTATTGCCCACATCAAACAACACACAAGCAAGTATGTTCACACATCTCACCACTAGACTACCATTCAAACGTTGGGCATTAAGATGTTTAAATGTTTTTGAAAGAAGTGTTTTATTTATTCCTGTGCTGGCAAAGCTGAATTTTTTAACAGTCATTACTCTATTTCTTCAGTCTCTGATTCTTTAGAAATCATTTTAATCAGGATTTTCTTTCTCAAAATAATGTATTTGAAATAGAAATCTACTACAGATGTCTTTTACTGTCCATCCTTTTTCAATTGAAGTATTAATAAATTTTAAAAAAATGGAATGCTAATGTAATATGCTCACTCTGTCATAAATGATCAGTATGGTTATTCATTTGAGCTAATGTATGGATACTGTAATGAAGTGGAGTGTTTAAAACCACGCTCTTGTCATTCACGGTAAACAGAATTGCTGTGGCATGTACATGTGTTTGTTAATATTTTGTGTATTCGTGAAATATGAAGGGTTTTGTTGAGTGTAAAGTGTATCATAACTAATAAATTTTTTATTCACATTTATTTCAGGGCCGACAATAGTAATGCTTGGATGAAGCAATCTAAAGAGGAGCCCACAATTGATTATTTTGATGTGCAGGATTGACATGAAATTCTGAATAGTCACTGTAATAATCACACAAAATAAAACTGTCCAAAGACTTCTTTTCACTATAGCATCACCGTTCTGAACACAAATACAGTGAGAATCTAAAGCTATGATTTGTGGACATGTTTGTTAGGTTTACTAAGGAGCAAACATCTAGGAGTAAAAATTGATGTGGTTTCTGTGCACATATTAACGGGGGGGGGGGGATGCATTTGTATTCTGAGACTAGACTTTGACATTATCAGTGACCTTGACAGTGATTTCTTCTTATAGACAGCTTACACAAGTGTCAGAGTGAAGTTGGACATGATTGGCATCAGGAAGGTTGTTGGTAGTAATCTCATTTTACCATACCTTGTTAAAGAAGATGAAAATAACTGTGCATCTCAGCTCCAATAAATACTTCTGAAAGCACAACTTTTTTGCAGTTTGTGTGACTTAAGTGCAATATTGAATAGATTGCGGTTCTCCACATTCTCCTTCAGGATTATGTAGCCTACTCCTGCTTTCTTCTGATCCCAACAGGAAAGATATTGTGATGCTCCGTCATAATTTGTTTCTTCTATGAGAAGAGGGACCTTGACGTCAATGCTCATTTGTATCAAGACAGTATATCATATATCTATGTGTCTAGATACCAGATCTAGTATATATCAACAATTTCTTCTGAGGTTTGTAATGACATGGGTTAAGTGCTGGAATACTATCATTATTCAGTGAATGTGTGATGGGACAAATCTAGAAACCGAAGGGTCTCTGCTTCTGGGCCCTTGGATTGCATAGAGCCTGACGGGACATGGGAAAAACGCAAGGGAAAATACAAATTTGCATCCTTAAAAATCAGTAACATCAGTGAGGCTACTTCAAAGGATTGTTTACTGTATGAATTTAATATAAATGACAGAACTTTAATCTTTGAATGAACTATCTCTTTATAATCCCTTTTTAATAGCTGTTGTCAGCCAGCAGCACACGTTTATGGACGTCGGTTATTATGAGAGGAAACCTCGACTTGTGTGACACAGACAACTGCTTTTTGGAAACTCGTTTAATCTTTACTGCCATCTCTTCTTTACTCGCATCTTCACGTGCAGATATTTGGCGGACTTTTCATGCGCATGTCGCGTACTATTTCAGGCCTGGTCGATAAAGTTCCCACTGTATTTCGCCGGTAAGTGTGAGTGACTGACTGTGGGGAGCGGCGCGTAATTTGACGACGCTCCCTCTACATCCCGAGTTTTATTCGAAGCGGCGGGGTACACGCGCTTGCGCCTCAGCGCTCACCGTCTCTGGCTGCATCCCCTCCTCACTCCGCTGCTTCTCCACACACCGAGTGTCCAGTCACTCCAGCACCGAGCAACAGGGAGTGTGTGTGTGCTGCTTGTGCTTCCAGCTATAAAGAACTTCATCTCCATCGCTCCGGACACACAACCGCTTCTTCATCTGCCCTCAACAGCCGGCCACAGTAACCATCTGCCATGGAGAGGAAGGTAGGACATTTACAGCAACATCATAAGAATGGCATCTGCTCCATAGAGCACTTATTAATCAACAGTGTTGAGTGTCTGCGGTCTGTTACCGTCCTGATGGTGTATAATCCGCCCATCTCATCACAGACAGTCAGATTAGTGCGCGTGGGAGTTTTCCGACTGGATCTAGTTTATTTGGCAATGTAAAGAGCAGAAAGAGACTGTATATGAAGCCAGACAGAACACACGAACTAGTCCTGAATACATACAGTGGTGCACGTGTTAATCCTGTCTTCTTCATCACTGGGTTCTTCATGATCATAATGCTGACTGGAGTGAGAGGTTCAAAGCAGCACTTAAGGCTGTAGTGGAGATGTTATGAGACATCAGATGCCTCCCTGTACTCTGCTAAGAGCCCAAGTACCTCTCAGCTTCAGTTGTTGGGTTTGCAAGTGTTAAATAGAAATATAAAGATGTTTCAAAATTCACTCCATGTGAGTGCAGTTTGTTTGTCTTAGAGTGAAGGTATGTGATTTTAACACTGGTATGTTTATGTAACTGGTTTAATGCTGGAATAACAAGGCTAAAGCAGTGCTTATAAAGAGGCTGTCAGCATCGTGTTGCTGTTCACCAAGCACATTTTTGTAATTTTTTCTTTGTAAAGGTTCCTCCGTAGTGATGGGGAACATGGAAATATCAGGAATTTTAAAACTTATTTTCAAGCCTGAAGTCATGGAAATATCTTTATTGATAATGTTAATGCAGTCTTTTTTTTGTTGCCTTTTTTTTATTGTGATAGGATAGTTTAGAGTTGACAGGAAGCAAATTGGGAGAGGGGGGGATCGGGAAAGGCTTTCGCCGCCTAGTCTCTGAAATCTTTTTCAAGTAGGCTAGTCATAAGCAATTGTAGTCATGAAAAATGTATTTGGTGAAAAAAAAATTGTTCAAGTGTATATATTATTTCATGCTCCTACAGATTCGACCTCTCTGAAACTGAATATTTGAAATTTCTCCACTTTCAAATACTGTATATCATTGTAAAGGTTCCTCCGTAGTGATGGGGAACATGGAAATATCAGGAATTTTAAAACTTATTTTCAAGCCTGAAGTCATGGAAATATCTTTATTGATAATGTTAATGCAGTCTTTTTTTTGTTGCCTTTTTTTTATTGTGATAGGATAGTTTAGAGTTGACAGGAAGCAAATTGGGAGAGGGGGGGATCGGGAAAGGCTTTCGCCGCCTAGTCTCTGAAATCTTTTTCAAGTAGGCTAGTCATAAGCAATTGTAGTCATGAAAAATGTATTTGGTGAAAAAAAAATTGTTCAAGTGTATATATTATTTCATGCTCCTACAGATTCGACCTCTCTGAAACTGAATATTTGAAATTTCTCCACTTTCAAATACTGTATATCTGTATACAGATATATGCCGAGGTAATAACAGTGCAGGCTTTGCCAAAAGGTCAAATCAAATATTAATGCTATGCTATGAGGCAGCACATTATGATGTCTAGAATCTGGTTGTTGCGTTTGTAAGGGTGGTAACTCTCATATGAACCCAACTTTATTATTTCTGACTTAAATCGTTTTCTGTGTTTTCTTCCATAGTGATCTGAAAAATGCCCAATTTCCTTGTGATCATGCACATACAGTACTGACTGTTTTGATGTCACTAAAAATAGTTTAGATATGCTGTAAACGTAATAGTCCTATACATCTGAATGACGGTAAGCATGACTGTGTTTTTACAATAAATAGATGAAAGCACTTTTTACATTCTACAGTCAAAAGTGTAAAGGCATATTGACATGGATGAATATGACTGGCTACATTTTCTATATTTTTAATTTTTATTTTGTTCACTTTTATTTTTTTATTTTATTATTATTTTTATATTTATTTATAGGAGAGTGTTCAGATTTTTTCTGTTCTTCATTGCATTGGGTGCATTCTGCTTTCCACTCTTGGGTAACCTAGTTCATAATATGTGCTTTTATTCCCCACAAGGACTGATATTATGATGCTCCATCATAATTTAGCTGTTTCTTATACGAGTGGAGTGACCCTGATGTCAATGTCTGTTCACTCATACCAGTAAAGAGATGGAGGTTTATAGACAATTTCTTCATGAGAGAAGTGTTATTTGATAAAACAGCATATATAGCATATGGCACAGATTCATAAAAGGTCAGTTCCCCGTAGCATATATCTTATGTTTTGTTGCAATTTCAAAATAATATTGTTATAAAGCATTTGTGATCACGGTGTTGAGTTGCAATTCCCTCCCATTTTTGTTTTCCTCATATATCCATCTCGGATGGTTGCTGAGTAAATCACCAGAATACAACTACTGATTTATTTTAATTAAGAGTATTCAGTAGTCGTGCAATACACAAGTTTTTTGGGCTGTGGTGAGCTGCATGCTGCTGGAATGCTCTGTAACTGCTGCATCGCTTCTGCTTGTATGCACTGTAGGAACGTACACCGCCATTGACTGTAGATAGGCTGAGCATGCTGGAGCACTCATATAGTACATGTTGACCAATCTAACCAATGCTGGTTTCTGTGAGAGTTGAGGCTGTGCCTTTAACGTTGATGGTATGTTTTGTGTCTGTATGCAGTGTCTAATGTTGTGTGTGAGTTTGAGTGAGTAACAGTGTGGTTATTCACTGCATTCTAATGGACAAATGTATTTTAATTTTGTCATCATTTATTCAACATTCTGTCATTCAAACCCCATAGGATTATTCTCCCTTTTTTATTTATTTATTTTATTTTAATCATGAAGCATAAAATAATTTTATTACGATTTTATCAACCTTTGTCAACCTTATACACTTCCATTTAAGTTTGCGGTCTGTAAGATTTGAATGTTTTTGTAAGAAGTCTCTTGTGTTTACAATAGTTGTGTTAATTGGATGCTAAATTCAGTAAACACAGTAATATAGTGAAAATGTTTCTATTTGAACATATTTTAAAATGTAATTTATTCCTGTGATGGCAAATACATTTTGTAGCCATTACTTTAGTCCTCCGTTTCAGTTTTTCTCTTTACTCTCCCTTTTGATCAATTAATTGTGTCCTTGCTGAATAAAAGTGTTAATTTCTTTAAAAATATGTATTTAATTTCTTAAATGTTTGTGCTTATTAATGCTTTGGGGCAAGTTTTATAATACACACACATTTTAGCCGTATAATTTGTATAATAGCTTGTCAAAGTTTAATAGGAACATAATATAACTAAACATCAAACCAAATTATATTTTGAAGACAGCACAATGTTATATTAACATTTGTCTGTTAATAAGATTTATATTGTTTTTTTTATTTTAAATGTAATATATTAATGTTATTTATTTTTATATATATATATATATATATATAATTTTTTTCTTTATTTTTTTTCCTCAATTGTGGAACAGTGATGGTTGTTATTAAAAACAAAAAGATGTTTGCCTAAAAGAGGATCTAAATGTCTTTGATGTCCTGGCCCAATACAACAAATACAAATAGAGCCTAATGCTTGTTTGATTTATTATTATGCTATTTGTGAGTTATTAATATATTGTTTTGTATACTATTTAAATTTTACCTTGGGATCAGTTGGTTAAAAGTAAACATTTCTAAAATAGCTTGGTTCTGCAAGACGTTTTGCCTCATTTGTTTGCAGATGCCACTTGGTTTGATATTTTGCAGTCTAATAGTTCAATGACATTCAATCTGTTTAAATGTGACTTAAGTGTCCAGATACTTGAGGCCACTGTAATTTTTTTTCTTAAAGTTTTGTATTGTATCCTTTACTACCTTAATGCTACAAGAGCAAGAATGTAAGTGCAGAAACTTTTTGCAAGTTCTTATGTAGGAGTTTGATTTGCTTATGCAAGAAAACATGGATTGTGAATGCAACCAAAAGCCAAGCAATCAGCTTGCAAGGTTATCTTT